CAAGGTTATTATTAATCCGTGATTGCCCCCATGACCTAACAGCCGTGATGCCTGTGGGAATATTTCCGATATGCTGGCTGTCCTGCAGCTACGGATCTCCCTTTGTTAAATCGGTTAGGGGACTAAGCTGACAAGGTCGACGTAACCTAGCCCCAAAACTCTGTTCCCCCTCGGATTCCCCTCATACGGACGAGAGCCTTTGCAACATTTGCAGTTACACTACCATCGCGTACCTTTATATACAAACAAAACTGGTGCTTTCTCGTTTGCTAAAACCGGTTCCTATTGCCACACCAATTGGTGAGGCGAGGTACCTATTGGTGCAGACTCACTGATGGCTTCTGCTGGCGCTGATCGTGTTCTCCATTCAACTGGCAGTGACGATTGTGCGATAAATGCAATTGTCGCCGTTGAGGGGGACGTGGGCCAACTTTTCAGGGTCAATCGGTACTTTCAAAAGTTGCCGCATATGGCCGTCAATTGTTCTTTATCCCAACCCGGGTATCATGTGAAAGCTTGCCAAACATTTGCAAACTGTCCAAACAAATGATTGAGTTGGCATGACAGTAACATTAGCCACATTCAGGATGCTGTTTGGTGCCAACTGAACATGCTACTTACGGTGATGCGTCTAGGCATTTAGTGCACGGGTGTCGATTTGTATTCTTTTGGGTGGGCCACTGCCCCCCAATGTTCAATCGGCCCCTCAATGGCGAGTTTGCCCCCCCCCCCATGTTCAACCCCACAAAAAGCCGAGTTTGCCTCCCCCAACCTTCTGGGGCCCAAGTTCATGTAGGACATAACGAATAACAGCTCGAAATTATATAAGATTTGAAGAAGGCTTCTACTTGCTGCTTCACAGCTAGAAGAACCAAGGAAAATGAAGACTGCGATACCACTTCCAGTTAAGTGCGCCTGACTACGTCAGTCGCACTTTTAAAACTGCGCGGTTGTTCCGCGTTTACTTGAGTTCTCTTGTTGTTTTTTTGCCCGTACTTTTCGTGTTTTTAATCACGCGATTTAAAGCTATGGCCAAAAGTAGTCTAGTTTTGTGCTATTGTAGACATATTTTGTCATTATTCAGCGATTTTAAGTTACACAAACCGCGGCAAGCTGTGTTGCTTGGCTACGACGTTTTATCGGAAAATGAAAACAAAGCAAGCTACAAGCCGTCTACATTCGGAGGAACCGTTGCAATGTGTCAACCTCCACTTCAACATGCATATCCAATCAAACAGTTGCAAAACCTGACGATCAACCCCAGCCGACGACATCGATAGCGGTAATCGTCCGACCATGACCACCAACACTAGCCGTGTCGAACATGCCTAACGGGAGTGATGCACCTGCACCCCACCTTGCGGCAGTCGGATGGGATTTTCATGGCAGACATTGTCAGTCACGCAAATCAACACAACTGTGCTCCTGAAGCCGTTTACGTCCAACAACGTTTGAAACCACATAACATCGACTCTACACCCATTAACGAAATCTGGCTTCGACGATCGACGTCAACAAAATCATGATGATGCCCGACGGCAATGTCTTTCGCCGAGACAAAGCAAGCAAACGGATGAGACGAGGTCTGTCTATTCTGTTTGTGGGGAGGGGACTACAGATCCATAACATCACTGGGGGGAAATTGGAGCAAATTCAAGAGGTTATCAATTTTTTAGTATATTTGACGTCTGTTTTTCCCGTTCAACCTAACCAGTCATGTTTTACGAAACTCACTACCGTGGTAATTTTAACCATCGTGACACACGAAAATTCGTCTCCACATTATACTCCGGTATCAGGTCTGGAACATAGGGCTCATTTACCAAGCAGAGAAAGGGCTGCGATCCGCGCTTTACATTAGTCGAGCTCCCTAAGTCAATAAGTGGCTCCTGTGTCGGTCAAGGGGACCACAGTGCCTAATATGGGTCCAGTATTGACAATGAGACCAGCGTCGACTTGGGACGGCGTTCGAGGAGCCCACAGAGGATCCGAAGGGTCCCCAGGACCGATGATCAAGTGCCCGATTGGGGGGGGGGGGGCATAAATGCAGGGCCGGACCATCAAATGTCAGTTAAGGGGCCCCTTGCACCGATTAGGGACACCCTTGGACAGTGCGGGCCTCTATTTCGGTCAAAGATCAACGGTCGGCTCTGTGCCGATCTAAGCCATGGGGGGTCATTTCCTAAGCAGGGACAAGGTGGGAACCCGCTATTAATATTTGAGCTTATCCTATGAAGAGATCAACAGCGACAGCAGCACGAATATACAGATTTCACGTTTACTTGTGTAGTTCTACCATCCAGTTCTTGCAACGGATCGAGGGTCCTATAATGCTAATCCGTTTATATCATAAATCGAATAATTGCAGAGATGGCAAATACTTTCGGAACACCTTCCAAGCGTTCCAATTGACATCCTTACGCGTTCAAAGGTACTTGCTTCGTAAACGTTGCCGTTTTCGTCCGTCCGTGGCCACCGCCTAGTGTTAGACACGGAACCAACGCGGCACGGCCTCTGGAGACGGGAACGCTTGGCGTCGGGGTTTTTGTTGTACGATTTGCGGGCGCACGTGACTAAAACTGGGCTATGCTATTCTTCCCTTACTTCATTCTGAGCAAGGTTCAGCATTCTGAGACCAAAGCAGCTTGATGTGAATGCAAATTCATTGCCTTATTTTGATCTAAGATCCACGTGCACGATGCCCTGTACAACCCAGAAAAAAAATCCGGTTCAGCCCCTGAGTGCTATTGGCTTAGAAAGAGTCCACCGAATCATTGTAGAATGGATGACACCGGCGTGTTTCCTGTTGTTAATTTAATTAAAAATACAAACAGCATTGTATCTATCGGTGACTTCTGGCTTTTAAGAAGAGCAGGGCTCCCTTCGAAATCAAGTGGGCCGTATCCGATGACTTCTTTTATTTTGGGTGGGGCCTTTTCCCAGGGGTAGGGCTTGGTCAGCCCTGTGTCCCACCCCACAGTTACCAAGGCTGTCTGCGTCCCTGCGTCGGTACGCTCATTGAGCATCGAGTATCCGTACGTAAGTTAAGATAACTGAAAACCCAGCTCAACCAGCAACCCAGCAACCAGCGACAATCAACCCGCATTTAGCATGACATTGAAATGACGGGTGCTTCATTTTCACATGCTAGAAGTGAAACGGGTGAGAGTTGCTTTCCCTTCAGAGGCACAACAGCTTAGAAGAATGTCCCCCAGTTGTATGGCTGCCTTGCATTCCGTTTTCATTGAAGATAACGTGGAAAGAAGATTCTCAACAGGAGAGCATCTGCCTCGGCGTATTTGCGGAAAGGTTGAAAACCATACTTCTAACTTATGCTGGAATGAATATCAACGGTATTTTACATGAATTCGTTAACATTGACACTAAATGCATAAGTTTCAACGGTGAAATTTCGTTGTAGTGAGAACTTGTGTGTAAATGTGCTATGATAGCCACACATATTGTGTACACTGGGATGTCCGTGAATCATGGTTGAATATTCTGACATTTGCAAGTTGAAAATCGGCCGGTAATTTTTGGGTGATATCGAGCTCGCCGTTCTTTGACTCAGCTTTTGACCTTGAAGGTCACATGATGTTGCAAAATAAGAGTCGTCTTTAGCGTTTTCATGCCACAATTGACCTTGTAACCATACTTTAGGGAAATCGGAGCTCGTCGCTGAAAAAAATCGCTGAATAAATCGCTAACTTCACGGGCATTGCACTGGACAATCAATTCTTGTAAACGAATGCCCGAATACAGACATCCTAAGCACATAATAGACAAATAATACACAACCATATTTGTTTCGTATGGAACGAGGGCTGCGACCGCATCCCTTCAGCTTCACACAACAGGCCCATTTATGAGAAGCAGATGCAATATGCGAGGCTTCCATGCGTGATTGCTGTGGCTACGCATACGAGCTTGAAAAAAGCCTGTAAGCATCGCACACACACACACACACACACACAGACACACACACACACACACACACACACACACACACACACACACACACACACACACACACACACACACACACACACAACACACACACACACACACACACACACACACACACACACACACCTATATATATATATATATATATATATATATATATATATATATAAATATAACCAAAACATATTATATATATAACCAAAACATTAGGAAACAAATCCGGAGAGGTTTTGGCTCGTCCCCTTACGACGACTTCCTCGAATCTGCCCCCCTCCCAAACCATGTTCAGAAATCGACACCCACGACTTCGTGTACCAACAATCGAGAGAGGGCTCGGTGCAGTATTGATGGACTCGCTCCACCATGGGTGAAGAGGGGCTAAAGCCCATCGGGAAATACATAAAGTGACGCCCCTGTCCTCAGCATCACGAGCGGCGTCATGCGGTTCGCGGCGCATTGAAGTTTCAGCTCCAGTGACTTCCCCGCTCTGTACCAACCGGCATAAAAACCGGACTTATGTTAAAGCCAATGCACCGCTTCCTTCTTGGCGACAGTGGCTTAAGCGTTGATAAAACTGAAACATCGTGCATGAAGGGAAAGCAAATGACGCCTTGCGCGTCGTGCATGTCCTGCACAACCGCAGAGGGACGTTCACGATTCATTTACAAGCAGCAAATTCCATATCACCTTTTTCACCTCTGCTGTAATCGGAGTGTACATGGCTCAAAGCACGAAACTTGTGATAAACATGGAAATATAGCGTTTTGATTGCATTCTGTGCATTTACATTTCCACAAATTGAGCGCTCAAAGAGATATTCTCGTAATAGTAGTGACGTCTCTTTACATGTCAGTGTTTTAAGACCACCGTTGTTATTTAGATGCATGCGCTGCAATTGTCGACGTCCGCCCTTCGCATTCTGCCTCTGATGCGGGGATTCGATAACGCTATCAGCGGTGTCGCATCGTTATGGGTAGTGGCCGAGAATGTATTGGCTTTGTTTCTAGCCGTTGGCGATACATGTCTAGCTGAATTAGAAGTATCGGTTCATTCTTGCAAGTTATGTGATTGGCACCCACCAAATGCTCTGCGTTTGGGGTGTGAGACTGGACAGCCGCACCGTGATTCCCTATTTGAGCGCTATTTTCTTACGACGTGATTGACTGATGTACCACTCAGGCATAGGTGGCAACGAGAGGAGAGCATTTGCTCAAAAACTTCCCAAGTGAGTTTTGCATATCCACTCATGGCTGTTTTTCAATTCTACCCCCCCCCCCTTCGGTAGTGGGGCAGCTGTCAGGATTGAAATTGTTCACTGTTGGTTGATTTCATTGTATATAAAGTTGTGTGTTGCATCAGGAAGAAAAAGAACATATATCAATGTTGCGATTGCTGGCTTAACAAAAGTTGAATTCACGGCAAGAATGTCATAACATGTTTTGCAAGTTAACAATAATGTGTATTGTTTGATGGCACTAATACACATTTTCCTTTCACTGCATGCTGCTCATGAATTTTTCACTGCTGCCATGCCATACTTGTATTTTTGTTAATTTGGAAAGTTATGTAATAATTATATCACTGAGTAAAACCTACAAACTAGCCTGAAACATGCAGATTGTGGCAAACGTGTCCACCGTAGGAGCAACTTTCCAACTGCCACCCATGAATGGGTGACCAGGAGTGCCTATCCCACTATCCCAGCAAAATCACAGCAGCAATATCAATGCATGTACATAATAATTTCTGTGCTCACAGTTAAGTGCATGAACACCCCTGGTAGCAGTGCATATAGATTCACCACATGACCTACGTGGTCAGTGCGCCCCAAAGCCCAAATCACCATCATCATCCCAAAAAGACTCATTGTTAAACTTGGTGCATGCATGCACCAGTTCCAGTGCACTTACATCACATGAATGTCATCTGCAGTGTATGGACTTTTGTATACTGATTCAGTGTTAAAATTTTGACATGTTGTAAGGAATGACATTGAGGTCATCAGCCAGTCATCATGTGCTGCAAAGAAGTTATACTTTGATAAATTATTCAATGTCCTGGTTCCGCTCCACCTCTTTTGCAGCTCCTGGTGTTTGGGAAGGCCATGGTTAATGGGCTGTCCAGGTTTCATCCAAAATCATCATTGTATGCTTAGATTTTGATACCATAAGAGTAGGGTTACCTGCTCTTACCTGTAAGATGCCTGAAATCATGTGAGCAAAAGTGAAGGTTCAGCCATCTAATGAAAATGATCTGTGTATTTTTTTTAGAAAACCACTGTCCTTTATCCTACTTAAGTTTTATCACATGTGCCATGAGTGCTAGATGCAGGTGTTCCATTACAGCATCTCATATATCCTTAATACAGCTGTTCTCTGTAAGATACTGATATATGCTGTGACAAATAGTCATGGCTATACTACACCATAATAATTGTTAAATTGTTTCAGTTTTGTTGTGTATGCTGCTTACCATTGCACTCTTAGCTTATCTTTCCATAAATATGTTTTGATCATTTTGGACAAAATGTCAAGAAACTATTAGAACCCACTGCTAATTGTGGACAGTTTTTTCTTTGGAGATCCTACACCATGCTTCTAAAATGCTAAAACTCTTAGACACTCAAAACCACCTTTGACGTCCATTGGAAACATGCTGTTGTCCGTTATCAAATGTCCACACAGCCATGATGACCTTGGTGTATCATCTAAAACTTGCTGGTGTGAATAAAAATTGTATTTGTTATGCACATTTATTGCAACCATTTGCAACTTTGTGTAGGATTGCTGCCAATTTTTACTGTGGTGAGCTGATTCATGGCAGTCTCATCTTTCTGAAAGCAGCAAGACTCAGAAGGATGTGGTGCAATGTGGTGCAAAAGCATGGTTGAATTGGGCTAAGAGTTTTCTTGTTTGTTTTTCCCTTCTCTCAGTGTAACCTGGTTATGTATGTCAAATAGACAGATAGGATGAGTACTATTGAACCCTACAATCATATGATGCCATGGCAGTCTGATGAGCATGACCTGCTCCTGACATTGCCCCCAAGACCATGCCTGACCTCGTACAAGTGCTTCACCCTGACTGGAGCCCCGCTCGCAGCAAACTCCTGTGGGTTTGTTTCAGACATGACGCCGTGGAGCGGCGGCGCCAGGCGGCCTCTGCCGCCTCCTCCACCGTGTCTTTCAGTACGACCCGCGACGCGCGCACCATCGCCGGCGTGCAGACGTCGCCCAGCTCCTCGGTATGGGCCTCCATCTCAACCCTCCAGAGGGTCCGCTGACGGTGCCCCTCCTCTGTACCGCCCGTTACCGCTCGCTTATTGTCAACCGGGCGTCGTGGGCAGCTGCTCAGCTGGGCGCAGCTATCCACTCATCTACATTTGTCATGGCTGATTGTGGCTGGGAATACAGAAGGCACCATGATGTTTGGATGTGCTGATGACAAAATAAACATGTTTGTTATTCGTGAACTCTGTCATAGACCCAGCCCCAGATATATGACATGAACAATGACTTGTGGACCATCCTCTTGTCACCGCCACTCCGTCTCATATACGTTAGACCGGCGCCCTTTGCCGTGTGTTGCGATGACCTCTACCCCGTGCGCCGATCCCCTATGTTTGTTCGGCTCGATGACGATCACACTCCTCGGCTGTGTCGCAGACATGCTGCAGCGACGTGGTGGAGCCGCTTGACTTCGAAGAATTCCTGGAGGCGCACCAGCTGGAGCTGGCCTCGGACGAGCTGCGCGACCTGCTCGACTCGCCGCCGGACGACATCGACGTGGGCATCATACAGCGCCGATACCGCACCGTCCGGCCGCTGGCGCCCGACAAACACGAGATCGGGTCAGTGTGCTCCCGTCCCCCTGCCACCACCACCGCCGACGCTGCACCGTTTTCCCGCTGCTCCCCCTCCCCCCCCCCCCCCCCCCCACATGAGATGGTGTCATTCCGCGAATCCACCAAGTGTTTGTGTGATCGAAGGGACCCGATACCATTGAATCATCAAAGGAGTAGCTGAGGCCAGCTGATGAAAGCTATAAGTGAGGGTCAAAGTAGTTTGAGTTGTTTCTTTTCTTGTAACATCTTCGGCTTGGTGCTAATTGTGGACAAAGTTCGAGGAGGAGTAGCAGCTGTTCCCTCTCCCTCTTCCCTTTGCTTCTGTAGCCAGTGGTAGCTGCACCCTATGGACGTGCTGCGTGCTGGGTAATGCAAACAACGCTGGTCGTGGTAATGTGCTAATGCTCAAGCCGAATGAGACATTGCCAGTTGCATGACCCTGCCAGACTCAGATTTATGTACATGTATGATATATGGCATACTGATTTGGCCTTCTCATTCCTACCTCAGATCGCTAGACCTGCATGTACAGGAGTGCGTGCGCCACTACTTGTCCGACTGGGTGTACGCCCATCGGCGGTACTCGGAGTTCGGCAGTGCTGGCATCTACCAGCGCTCGCTAGAAGCACAAGTGCAGACATCTGCCGAGCTGTATCAGGAGTACGAGGTTGACGGCGTAGTGGAATTTTCCATCTCTAATGGCGCCAGCAAGGTAACCATTCAAGCGCGTGTAGAACAATGGGGCGCTGCTGAAGCCATTTTTACTGCTCAGTCAGTCACTTTGTACTGTTTCAGTTGTCTGCTGGCCGTGATAAGTTTCAGTTATCGGATGACAGTCCTATGCCGAGGACTGTCGCGAGATAGCTCAAGGAGCGCAGTTTTCGACAGTCCCACGTAGAACACTGTCATGATATAGCTCAGGTGGCGCAGTGTCGACAGTCCTGAGCAGAGATAGCCCAGGTACCGACCTCCTCGGCCGGCTACCGCCCTCCTGAGGGCCGGCCGGCCGCTGACTCCGTCCCCCGGCCGCTCCCAGTCGACGCCGTCCAGCTCGGCCCGCAGCAGCATGCTGATGGCCGACACGCCTCGCGGGAGCTGGGCCTCCCACTTCGACCTGAAGAACTCGACGGCCGATGCGCTGCTGCCGTCGCTGCTGGACCGCGTGCCGACGGACACGCTGGACCGGCTGAACGAGGCGCGCCGTCAGCAGGGCCGCCTGGTGAGACGCCCCGCCCGCCGGCCGGCCACCGCCGCCGCCGCTGGTCGCTGGGGCCGGCCGGGGTCAGGCCAGGGTGATGACAATGACACGGTCGCGGCGCGGATCCAGGCGTCCCCATAGTCCGATTTATCTGTGTGAGAGCATCGGGCCTTGTGGTTCTGTGGCACTAGCCCAGCCTGTGCCAAGGTCAACTGGTGTGAAGACCAGTACATGCCCGATGGGGCGGGGGCGTCACGTCTGGGCACAGGATCGAGTGGGTGGGTGTATTGGAAGCCAACCGGAAAATGCCGTGTCTGACCATGGCTCTGATGTGCTGTGCCACACCCGTGTTTGTGGTCAGGGCCCGCTGTTCGTGCTGTATCACACCCTTACGCACTTCTTCCGTCTGTGGTCAGGGCACACTGTTCTTGCTGTACCACACCCGTACGTACTACTTCCGTCTGTGGTCAGGGATCGCTGTTCTCGCTGCACCACACCCGTACGTACTACTTCCGTCTGTGGTCAGGGATCGCTGTTCTCGCTGTACCACACCCGTACGTACTACCTCCGTCTGCGGTCAGGGATCGCTGTTCTCGCTGTACCACACCTGTACGTACTACTTCTGCCTGTGGTCAGGGATCGCTGTTCTCGCTGTACCACACCCGTACGTACTACCTCCGTCTGTGGTCAGGGATCGCTGTTCTCGCTGTACCACACCTGTACGTACTACTTCTGCCTGTGGTCAGGGATCGCTGTTCTCGCTGCACCACACCCGTACGTACTACCTCCGTCTGTGGTCAGGGATCGCTGTTCTCGCTGTACCACACCTGTACGTACTACTTCTGTCTGTGGTCAGGGATCGCTGTTCTCGCTGTACCACACCCGTACGTACTACTTCCGTCTGTGGTCAGGGATCGCTGTTTTCACTGTACCACACCCGTACGTACTACTTCCGTCTGTAGTCAGGGATCGCTGTTCTCACTGTACCACACCCGTACGTACTACTTCCGTCTGTGGTCAGGGATCGCTGTTTTCGCTGTACCACACGCGTACGTACTACTTCTGTCTGTGGCCAGGGCTCGCTGTTCTCACTGTACCCGCCCGAGACGAGGAGGACGTGATAGAGCGCCGCGCCGCGCCGCCGCTGCCGGCCGAGCACCGTGGCCACCGCATCCTCGTCAAGTGTCTCCAGCTCAAGTAAGACGCGCTCGCGGTGACCTGGGGCGGCGCAGGCTGGCCGGCCCGGGCGCCAGCGCCACCCGCGTGGCGAGCCGAGCCGCTGTCTTGAACCCGTGGGCAGCTTGTGGTGTACGTTTTGGGACGATAGGTGACTGTGTTTGCGCTCTGAAGGCTCAGCTCCTGCCTGGTCTGGGAGCGTGACCGCAGCAACGTCTAACGGCAGTTCAGCATCTCGCCCGCGACGCAGTAGCGTCTTGCGGCTCCGGATCTCTCTGTAACATCTCGCTCTTTTGTGCGGACCCAGTCACGTGTGCAGTGTCGTCTCGCGTGGCGGCGCCAGTCACGGTGCCCGGCGCCGAGGTGCGGAGACGCGTGGCGGTGTGACGTCACCGAGAAGCCCGCAGTGTGAGGTGGCGTCACGCGGCTGTCGTCGGCTGTCGTGACGAGGCTGGCGTCCTGGCAGGCTGGAGGTGACGATCGAGCCCATCTTCGCCTCGATGGCCCTGTACGACGCCGGCCGGAAGAAGAAGATATCGGAGAACTTCTATTTCGACATGAACTCGGAGCAGATGAAGAGCATGATGCGCGACCACGTGCCCTACGTCGACATCAGCACACTCAGCAAGAGCTGCATCTTTGACATCACCTACCCCTCGGCGGACCTATTCCTTGTGATCAAGCTGGAGAAGGTGATGCAGGGCGACATCAACGAGTGCGCCGAGCCGTACATCAATGATAAGGTGGGTCACAATGGAGGTCGCACCGCTGGTCTGTCGCCTAAAGAGTTGACTACAGTACCTACCCTGAACTATTTCCTCATTATGAACCACTGACATGGGCTGGCATTGGGTCCACCGCGGCATGTGCTGCACTCAGTAGAGAGAATGCCGCTGCGACGCCAGTGCGACGGGCCTGACTCAACCCATCAGCGGGACATCGACTTCCCCGACTTCCGGTCGGTCGGCGCTCGTGCCGCGCACTGACTGGACCCCAGCGGACACGAGCGGGCCAGACAGGCCACGTGCCGCTGGAGTGGCGCACGGCTGTCGTGGCCGGAGCCGCTGACGCCGCTAACGCCGCTAATGCCGCGCTCCATCCGCCGCAGAGCCGGGAGAAGGCACACGCCGTGGCGGCCGGCTTCTGCGAGCGGCTCGGCCAGTATCGCATGCCGTTCGCCTGGACGGCCATCTTCCTGACCAACATCGTGGACGGCATCAACAGTCTGGAGCGGGAGGCCGGCGACAGAGACACGTCCAGCAACCCCAACAGTCTCGGTGGGTGCGGACAGGGCGCTCCGGCAGCCTTGGACATCTCTGGTGACTCCCTGAAAAATTCACGCGCGACATTTGCTCTCGAGTCGCAAACGTGCACTCAGCGGGATTTGTGTCCAGCACTGTCCCTTTGTAGTTCGACAGTGTTTTTCAACATCAGCCCTTCTTGAGGTGTCTAATGATCTGACTTGATCTTTTGCGAACGCATCCATAGGGCGACAGAAGTAGTTCACGTTTGCTGAAAATAAGTGCCACCTACATAATCCCATTTAATTTCTAACGTAACCATGTTTGACCATCTAACCATCCAACGCCGTGTTTGACGCTGCAGCCCGCAGTAGCATCTTCTAACCTAATCAAACATACAACCAAAATGCCGCCGACAAATTGCGGCGAACGAGACAAATGGCTAGTACACATCGTTAAATTAGATACATGACGTAATTGCAACGTACGTCGTACGCACGTTGTCTCTGGCGCCGGCAGAGCGCAAGTCCTCCCAGTCGAGTTTCGACCAGTTCCGCAAGCGGCCGGCGGCGGGCGAGGGCGGCGGCGGCAGCGGCGGCCTGGGCCGGCGCGGCTCGTTCGAGCGGCGCAGCTTCAGTGAACGGCGCACGCTCACGCCCGAGCAGTTCGGCCAGAGTCTGCAGACGTTCCGGCCCGTCACGCTCACCGTCGCCAGCTTCTTCAAGCAGGTGAGAGCAGGATGAGCGGGGCGTGCGCCGGCTGCGGGGTGCCGTCGCTGCGCGGTGAGCCCGCCGCGCTTCGCCTCTCGCGCGCGATATGTGGACAAGGTGGTGCGTCTCCCGCCCGCGCACCGGCAGCGTTGAGCGTCGCGCGAGAATGGGCCCGGCCCGTGATCTGGAGCGTGTTCAAGGGCGACTGCGTGCGAGCGTGTCTGTAGAACGCCGAACGGGTCGGAGAGGCGTAACGCCGCGCTTTCGTCGCGCCTGCAGGAGAGCGACCGGCTGAAGGAGGAGGACCTGTTCAAGCACCTGCAGGACCTGAAGCGGCCCAGCAGCGGGCTGAAGAAGCTCAAGTGCATCGGCGGCACGCTCAAGCTGGACATATCGCCGTGTCCGGACGAGGTCAAGAACTGCCTGACGCCGGAGCTGGCCAAAATCAGGCCGTATCCCGGTAAGGCAGGCGCGTCCGGGGGGCCGCAGCGGGTGAGGGCGGGCTATTGACCACCGCCGCGTGACCAAGGCTCGTCCGTCACACACGCCGTTATATTTGGCCGTAGGACGCTGCATGTGAGGCGACCGGCCGGCGCCGCCACTGTCTCACGGCCCGCGCGCTCCGTTGCACGCAGCCGTTCCGCTGGAGGGTGATGATTGTGAGTAGTCGGCGGCGCCCGCCGGCCGCGCTGACCGCTTGGTTTTGTTTCCAGACACCTGTGAGTCGCCTGGCTCACTCGGCCGTCATTTGTAGGGGTATTCGGTTGCGTTTGTGCGTGGGTTTGTGCGTTCTGCCAGCCCGTTTTGCGACGTTGAGCTGGTGCTTGATGCTTCGTCACCTTTGTTAATCAGCTAATTACCATCGCGAGCTATTTGTAGGGACTTCGACATTTTCTTTATTTGTGTGTTTTTTCTAGTGGTGGTCGTCTGGCTTGCTTCTGTCTCTGAGTGGCTTGTCCGCTTTTGTCACCATCCTTGGCACGATCCTGAATCCTGAGGCATCACAACATTGCATGTTGGCTTCCCGTAATTCTGGAGGCCGATAGCTGATAATATTGTACTGCCAATCGTTCGTAGATTTTCCCCGGTTTCATTTCTGGCGTCAGGATGCTAGTGCTTACATTCAGTCTCACTTCGTATCATTCATTTCAATTTCATCATCTCTTCTACAAACCTATCATCTTTTTCGGTTCGCATCGCTGTGTTGCCTGCCGTATGCGGCAGGCGTGCTGGTGTGCGCGGACGCTGCGCGTCCGTCTTCCGCCGAACCGGCGGCGTCGGCGTGACCGTGCGGCGCTGGCGGCGCCCCTCGTGCCCAGTGTACCGTGCCGTGCTGACCGTCGCCCCGCCCGTCCGCCAGACGACAAGTGCCGGCCCTGCAAGGAGCTGCTCGAGTTCCCCTCGCAGGCGGTGTACGAGCCGCACTTCCTCTACCGCAGCGTGCTGTTCGTGTCGCCCAAGAGCGTCAACTTCACCAACTACCCGAACAAGCCAGGTAACGCGGCCCGCGCCGTCGCAGCTGGCTTGAAACACGCACCCCTGGCGGGGTCCCTATTCAACTGCAATTGGAGCTGCTGTTGATTCAGTTGTAGCGTGCGTTCCGATGCACTCATTGGGATTTTCAAACCGTTTGTACCTGCCTGACATGTTCCTATTGCATGCCTTCTACCAGCGTGGTTGCCTGTCAGCAGCTCCGTCAGCGTGAACTATGCGGGTCCACATGCTCTGTCTGTCGTCTGACCTGGCGCAGCTCTGACAAGCTGTCCGTTCCCGCTTCGCCCCGTTCTCTATGGGTTGGTGCTGTTCACCCCAATCCCGGGTGTGCCGCGCCCGCAGGCATATCAGCCCGCAACATCGCCGTGCGCGTGCAGTTCCTGAACGGCGAGGGTGCGGGCGCGCCCATGCCGGTTATCTTCGGCCGCTCCTCCATGCCAGAGTTCGTCAGCGAGGCGCACACGGCCGTCAGCTACCACAACAAGTCAGTGAGGCGCCGTCCGCGTCCAGCACGCGCTCATACGGGCGTGGTGTGATCGATGCGACAGTCAGTGAGGCGCCGCTTGTACCCAGCATGCGCTCACATGGGTGTGGTGTGCTCGGCGCGGCAGTCCAGTGAGGCGCCGCTCTGGGAAGAGCTCTTGCGGAGTCGAACGGTGGATGGGACGTCGGACGCGAGGGGAGATGACGGAACACTGCGCCGTTGTGCACGCTTGCCTTATTCTAACGTGTTGTTGGAGCGCCATCCTGAGGTGGAGTGGCTGATAATTTGGGGCGCGTTGTCGGTAGATTCCAAGACGCTGGGCAGGATCCTCGCGAGGGTACGTTATCGGCTCCTTTGCCGTGCTGCGTGGACGCCAGTTGTCTGGCCATTTTTGTGCCAGGTCTGCGAGTGAGACTGGTGGCCGTCTGGTTGACAAGGTGGTCGCCCTGCCTCCCAGGATGCCGGACTTCTACGACGAGATCAAGCTGAAGCTGCCGGCTAACCTGACGGACGCGCACCACCTGCTGTTCACCTTCTTCCACATCAGCTGCCAGCCGCGCAAGCAGGAGCAGACCAGCGCCGCCACCCCGATCGGATACACGGTAACGTCCGGAGTCTGGCTGCCTGCACTTCGTCTTTCCTTGCCGCGACGTGGAAGCACCCACCGACGATTGCCCAATTTCATAAGAGCATGCCAGTGATGTTCGGCTGCCGTTTGCTTCTGTCATGTGGCGTTGTGTGCACCGAGCTGTGCCAATGGCTGTCCGTGTGGGGAGGTGGCATGTTGGTAGGTGCTGGTCTTTTGTTCCGGGGAGGCGGCCACCTGTGCGTCCCCACGTAACGTTACGTTGTGCCCGGTGCCAGTGCCTCCGGGCGTGGCGCCGTGACCCTGTCCTGTGCCGGTAACCGCTCTGTGACCCAGCGTGTGATGACGTGCGCTGTTGTCTGCCGCCGAGTGGCCGTTGTGTGACCCAGCGTTACGTCCTGTGACGTTGGCCGCCGCTGCCTGCCGCCGAGTGGCCGCTCTGTGACCCAGCGTCACGTCAGCCGTGTGACGCCGTGTGACGCCGTCCTGCTCCAGTGGCTGCCGGTGTTCCGAGACGGCCGCCTGAACACGGGCGACGCGTGCCTGCCGGTGCTGCTGGAGCCGCCGCCGCCCAACTACCCCTACATCACGCCCGACATCAACTTGCCCGGCGTCAAGTGGGTCGACAACCACCGGCCGCTCTTCTCCGTCTCGATCACGGCCGAGACGTCCGTGCACGCCCAGGTGAGTGACGGGCGGGGGCACGGCGGATGTGTCGTCGTGAAGGGATCCGGGCGGGCCCTGCCGCCGTCAGCACAGGTGGTGAGGGGGCAGCGGACGAACTCGCTGGACGTTCGCTGCTTTCGATGCTCCTCGCTAGAACTGAATGGGGCAACACGGATTTTTTGGAGACGTCTCTCGCGCTGTGCTGCCATACGGTGATGCTGGGTGACTCGGTTGGGTGTCTTAGTTGCTACGTTGTTATAGATGGCTTGTTACCGTGTCAGTTAACCCGTCGAGGGGCTCTGATCACGTTTAGTCGCTGTGCTAATACTAGTTTCTTCGTGACTAGGTCTTGCACTACACACATGCGTAAACAAAGCCTAGTTTTTTAAGCTAGCCGTATGCTGTGTGAGCCTGTCATCTGTTCCATTAAAAAATCAGCGGTTTTATTATGCCAGTTAACATAACCAGCTTAGGGCTTGAACGAGTCCTTTCCTGATAAATCGCCTGTTTCTGAAAGGAGAGAAAGTGACATGAGTTGTCAGCCGCGTAAGCCCGTCATTCGTGCTGCGCCTGTTAATATTTGCACTGCGGGATGCATGACTGTGCTGTGGTGTGTTTCAGGACAAGGGCATCGACAGCTTCCTTTCCATGTGTCGGGTGGTGGAGAGTGGCGTGGTGCCGCCCCGCATCGGAGAGAACAACGTCGAGGCGGAGCTGAACCGCAGGTGGGTGCCGGAGAGCCGGCCGGTGGTCCGCGCTCAGGCACGACCGGTCCATTGGTAGACCATGATTACCCAGTATCACCTGCTGAGGAGAGGGAGACAATAGTTTTTCGTTCGTCGCGTACATGTTTTGCGCGTTCTCTAAGGTTTGACGGTTCACACTGTGGCACGTTTGACGTGTGGGGGACAACTGGTCACAGTGCATCTATTGTAACAGTCAGCACAGTCGCGCTCAACTCTTGCCATTCGCTGGACTATTCACAGTCTCACTTACGCGTCACACGCGCCGCGAGCCCCCACGCGCCAGGTCTCTGACGGGTCCAGCTCGCCCGGCGTGCCAGAGTGGCGCGCCGCTCAGCCCGTCAGCAGAGCTGTCCGGGGTTCAGCGCTGACTGGCCGTTAGTCGAGCGCGTGGACGCGGGGTTGACGCGTCCCGTCCCCTCCCGCCGCCCAGCATCCAGCAGCTGAGCGAGAGCGATCCGGAGCGGCTGGTGCGCCTGCTGCCGCTGCTGCTGGACCGGCTGCTGCAGCTGCTGGTGCGGCCGCCGATCGTCGCCGGCCAGGTCATCAACACCGGCCAGCCGTGCTTCCAGGCCATCGGACAGCTGGTGCAGCGGGTCTCGGTGCGTGCCTGCCGGTCTCCGCCGGACGGCCGGTCGCGTCCGGCGCGGCTCGGCGCCCAGAGCCGCCCACCGCAGCCGCGGCGCTGGCCAGGATAATTTTGGATTGTGCCTCTTGCTCTGTGGCTTACAAACTGATGTTGGCTATAAAATATAAGCAGCTTCCACGAGGTGGCGTACGTTTCATTGAATAGAAAGCAGGCCGAGCAGAACAGACACCGATTCTTTTTCGTTTCGCTTTCCAACTGGTCTGTCGCTGTTCTGGTGGCTCTGCAATTCTTTCTAAGCGGGTTCTTCACAACAGTGAACGGCTGCGCGCAACGGCTGCGGCCTGGCTGGTGTGTGGCGCCGGACGTCCGGCTGCGGGCGTCCCGCTAACATCCGCCCTCCCCGCCGGCAGGACCTGCTGGAGTCGCGTAACGATCAGCACGGCCGTAACGCGCTGCTGATGACGTACGTGCGGTACCAGTGCACGCTGCCGCAGGGCGCGGCCGAGCCGGTGCTGGGCGGCCTCTCGCCGCCGCACAGCCCCGCCTACGTCGGCCGGGCCTCCTCGCTGCCGCGCGCCCGCACCTTCAGCAGGTGGGAGACGCTCGCGCGCGGGCCGGGACGCTCCGAGACGGGGGCGGAGACGCAGACTGTCTGCGTCAGCCCTCGCCGCGACCCGGCGGAGGGTACCATTGGGGCCGCCGCCGAGAGCCGGCAGCCCGTCCAGGCATTTGGCGGGATTCTGGACTCTGGGGATTGGAGCAGGGTCTGATAGCCGGTTGGCAGAGTCGGGTTGTGTAGGTGAGGATGGAGGTCTTTATGTCACGGGAAGCTCGTGAATGTTTTATGTAATAACGCACAACTTGCGAGGTTATGCGCGGTGCCAACTGAATAGGCGTCACCCGCCTCATGACTCGCCGGCACCTGGTTTCTGGCTCGCCGTCACCTGCCTCCTGACTCGCTGTCACCTGGCTCCTGACGCGCCGTCAGCTACCTCCTGACTCGCCGTCACCTGCCTCCTGACTCGCCGTCACCTGCCTCCTGACTCGCCGTCACCTGCCTCCTGATGCGCCATCGCGTGCCTTCTGACTCGCCGTCACCTGCCTCCTGACGCGCCGCCACCCGTCTCGGGTACCTCTGTGACCCGTCTCGGGTGCCTCCGTCCGTCAGTGACTCGGTGGGGTCCCACTGTGACCTGACCCGTCTCTCCGTCGTCCGGCCAGGAGCACGAGTAACCCGAACATGGCGGCGCCGCTGGACGCCGACTCGGAGGTTGGGCAGATCCTGAGTCGCGCCCTGGATCGGACTGCCAGCCTTCGCACCGGTCAGTAGCCGCCGCTCAGCTTGGGGCCGACCGACGGAGGAAGGGCGATGAGGGGAAGCTCTGCGTCCTCTCAGGCGGTCCCGTGCTGTGGAGGCTGCACCGGTCCACGCCCGGATGGGGGTGGGGAGGTGGACTGGCGCGCTCTCCCGGCCTTTTGTGCTGTGAAACATCTAAGCAGCTTCTTAGGTTTTGTATGTGACGGGCATGATATTTTTCCAGTATGTTTTGTGGATAGCAAACGGTTAGAATTAGACCTCTTTTGCTTAGCCTTCGTAAAGCGGCCACCGGGAGCAAATCAGGACAACATGCCACTGGTGACCGCGGCCCGCGCTCAGTGACAGTCGCCTGCAGCGGGTCTTATCTAACGGTGACACGATGGCTTGTCGACCAGTCGTTGAGGCTAACCGTGACTGCCCTTGGGCGCATACTCAGTGCTGGAAGAGCTGCACGAAGGTACGGAGCGAAGTCGATGCGGCCCGCCGGCCCTGGCGGGAGGCGCGTCGGTTTGGCTGGTCGCATCGCTGGTGTTGATTGTCGCCGTGTCGCGTTGTCTGTGGCTTATCGCTTTGTGTCTGCGAACGGCTTTTCGCTCGCCCCGGTCCAGTGGTCCTGCATCCGTTTTCTCCGCGTCCGCCTGCCTGCGCGTGTATGGGAACGGCATAGGCGCGTCACATGTGCGCCAGATGCCCGCCCGACCCGCGGCGCCCCACACGTTGACCCGCCCTCGTCACCAGTCCGTGTCCCCGCGCTCGCCCTGCTGTCGCCGTCACGCCGCCTGCCGCTGCCTGAAACCGTCACGCGTACTGTCGAGCGCACGCCCGCGGCTCGGCCCACATCCGCCGCTCCACGCCGCTGCCGCTGCGAAGCCGCTCGCCCTCGGCGCCTGCCGGGATGGCTGGGGGCGGGGTGCTCCCTGAGCGTGATGTGTGGGCTGTGAAGGCGGCCGGTGACGCTCGCGTCCGGCGTAGCGGCCGGCTCGCTCGTTCGCTCGCAGTGTAGCTCGCCGCTCGCTCCGGCCGCTGCGGCCGGTGACGCCGGCGTCCGGCGTAGCGGCCGGCTCGCTCGCTCGCAGTGTGGCTCGCCGCTCGCTCCGACCGCTGCCGCCGATGACACCTCGCCTCCCGCCGCCACAGGCGTGAGTCAGGAGCTGCTGGTGTCCAGCCGCACGGCCACTACCCGCAAGGTGGTGCACGAGGAGTTGGCGCTGCAGTGGGTGGTGTCCAGCGGCCGCTCGCGAGAGCTGGCGATGCTCAACCCCTGGTGAGCAACGGCGCCGAGCGCTCGTGTCAGCACCGGGTCCCCGCGCGGCAATCGATGTTCTAACCACGTGGGAATACGTGCCGGACAACGGCCTGGGTGCGCTGGTGTGAGCAACGTACAGTGGTAGCTGGTGCTTGATAAGGGGCGGACGACGCGGCGCGCCGCGTTCTCTTCTGTATGAAAGGCCGAAGCCGCGGCGTGTTCCCCGCCAGCGTCGCGTGTCGCTCGCATGTGGCGGCTGCGCATCGACCGACCCGTCGCCGCGTGGCTCAGCCGCCGCCGCGTCCGGCAGGTTCTTCTTCGAGCTGATGTTCAAGTCGATGCTGTGTCACCTGGCGTCGAGCGGCCGCATGGAGGCGCCGCGCCGCTACCGCTTCCCCGAGCGCTTCGCCGACGACGTCACCACGCTGGTCACCAGCATCACCAACGACATTGTCAGCCGGCAGACACGCGACAACCGCGAGGTGACGCGGGTGAGTGCGTTCGACCGCCCGGACTGGGGCTCTTTCGACCGGTGCCTGCGGCTGGGAGCGAGCGCTACCGGTGCTTGAGTCGGCCGCCGTGGTTTGGTATGCCGGGCGCGGAGCAGTGGTGGCGTTTGGCGACCGTGCAACCCCAGCTGGGACAGACCGTGTGTGCCCGCAGTCGCCCTACCGTGACGTCGGTGGTTGTGTGCGGCGCCGCGGCGTTTTAGGTTGTGTAGATGTGGATCGTGTGGATCGAAGACCTGGAATCGCTTTTGCTTTTTCATCATAATTGCGTTGTTTATAAGGCACGCAAACGGTGCGATCTAGCAATGTCTGCTTTAGCCGCACAGCTGCTGGATAGACAGAGCTTTGCGAACCGCGCGCGTTCGATTGGACTCGCGAGAGCAGCGATGACCGGTTCAACCGCGGTGCCTGCCCTGTCCGTGGCTGCCTCCAGATAAGGCTCCCGTCCGGTGACCAGTCCTGTGTCCCTGATCCCTGACCTGTCCTGTGGCGGACCTGCCGAAGGAGCGCGCCGCCACCCCGGACCCGCCGACGCCTCCGCGCACGCTGCGCTCCCCCAAGCGGAGCGCCACGCTGCCGCCGCGCCACCCGCGCTGCAGGGCGGCTCAGTGCGCCGAGCGGCCCGGCTCGCCCGGGGCCGCCCCGCTGGCCGCCGCCGACGCCATCCGACCCGGGGTCAGCGCCGCGTCCGCCGTCAGGCCCCACCCCTGCCCCCGCTGCCGCCTCCTGCCGAAGGCCACGGCTGGGGCTCGTCAGAATTGTGTGTGCTGCTCTTGAACAGTCTCGTCCTTACGTGAACTGCACACCCGTATCAACCTAGCTATTAGGGTGTTGGTATGTCCATTTTGCCTTGTAGTGCAACGCTGGTTGCAGTGAAAACATGTGGCCGTGATGAGACTGAATGGAATATTGACATTTTACAATATTAGGTGCTGCTCCCCTGTTTTAGTGCACAGTGCTATGTATACTGTCCCACTTTTGCTGAAAACTTAAAAACTATTGAAAACTCGTCACTGAGGCAGTTCATGGGGATTTTAATGCCTTGCAGTCGTCTCAACTGATGCCCATTCATGTCTGACAAGGTCTGTACAGCATGTATCCGAGTGGTATGTGTCTCTGGCGTGTGGTAAGGTCTATCTAGCACGTACCCGGGCGAAATGTGTCTGTAGTGTTGCACGACAGCAGCTGACTGATCGGTGGCAGCGGTGGCCTGCGTCTGGCACAGATCCTGTGTGTTCGGCGACGCCCTGTGACGTGCCTGGTGGCGTCTGACCGGACGGCGGCCTTCAGGACGTGAGTCGACTGAACGCGGCTCTGGCCTTCTTCATCAACGATCTGCTGTCGGTGATGGACCGCACGTTCCTGCTGGGCCTGGTGCGGCTCTACTGCCGCGAGATGTCGTCCCGCCGCGCGCTCGCCGCCGACCCGGCGCAGCTGACGCACCTCAAGGTGGGCAGCCCCCCCCCCGTCCGTCAACAGCCGGGGCACGTGCAGCTGACACACCTCAAGGTGGGCAGCCCATCCCCCAGTCTTTCACCAGCCGGGGCACGCGCAGCTGACACACCTCAAGGTGGGCAGCCCATCCCCCAGTCTGTCACCAGCCGGGGCACGCGCAGCTGACACACCTCAACGGGGGCAGCCCATCCCCCAGTCTGTCACCAGCCGAGGCACGCGCAGCTGACACACCTCAAGGTGGGCGACCCATCCCCCCGTCCGTCACCAGCCGGGGCACGCGCAGCTGACACACCTCAAGGTGGGCGACCCATCCCCCCGTCCGTCACCAGCCGGGGCACGCGCAGCTGACACACCTCAAGGTGGGCAGCCCATCCCCCCGTCCGTCACCAGCCGGGGCACGCGCGCGCACAGTGCCTCGGCTCGCACGCGCAGCTGACACACCTCAAGGTGGGCGCCCCCCTGGCCTTCACCAACCAGATCACGTGCGCCAGTCTCTCGGCTCGCACACGCAGCTGGTATCTGGTGAGGTGAGAACTTAGTAAGTCGGTCGGAGGACAGCATTGATGTGGTATTGGTGCTCAGGTTGTTACAGTTTGCTTGGCAGTTGAGCCTGCTGAAGAAAGTAATGCCAGCGTTGATTGCATCTCTCAGTCTCAGGCAAATACAAATGTAAATGTTTCGCGTCTCTGGAGCTCGTGTGCATGGCGTCACTGCGTACGTGAGGCCGCCTCTTGACGCCGCGCCTCCGCCGCAGCTGGACTTCCTGCGGATCGTGTGCTCGCACGAGCACTACTTCTCGCTGAACCTTCCGCTGGCCACCCCGCTGAGCAGCGCTCAGCCGGCCGCCTCGCCGACGCCGTCGGTGGGCTCGGCCAGCTCGCAGTCGTCCTACCTGTCGTCCACGCTGGTGGCCAACGAGCGGCCGCGCTTCGCCGAGCTGAGCGCCGAGTTCCGGCAGCAGCACTTCCTGGCCGGCCTGGTGCTCAGCGAGCTGGACCTGGTGCTGCGCGGCAGGTCAGTCGGCGTGTCAGACGGGCCAGTCCCGTGCTCAGCGAGCGGGACCTGCTGATGCGCGGCAGGTCAGTCGGAGTGTCAGGCAGGTCGGCCTGGTGCTGCGCGGCAGGTGAGTCAGCGTGTCAGACAGGCCAGTCTCGTGCTCAGCGAGCTGGACCTGGTGCTGCGTGGCAGGTCAGTCGGCATGTCAGACAGGTGGGTCGACAGGTGTCGCAGTTCAGACAGATTAGCCTGGTATTCAGCGAGCTGGACCTGGTGCTGCGCGGCAGGCCTGTCGGCGTGTCAGACAGGTCAGTCCGCAGGCGTCGCAGGTCGGACAGATCTGACTGGTCCTCAGTAAGACGGGTCAGTCTGCAGACGGCGGGTGGAGCAACGACGCGCCCGGGTGCTCGGGCTGTGGGGTGTCTAGTCCGGGTTCGATGTGTTTGTTGGTTACAGAGTAACGGCACGCGAAGTCGCCGCTGGGGGCTCGCTCGTCGTCCTGACTTGAACGCGGTGTTTGCTCTTTCATCCGCCGGGCAGAGACCGCCGCCACGTGCTGCAGTCCCTTGCTTCGTGGTCGTCCCAGCGAGCGTCGCCCTGTCCGTGACTGGTATCGTCGTCGTTCCAGCAACTCGGGCACGCACAGCAAGTCGGTGAGCGTGGTGCGCAACCTGCTGGCCTGGCACGACGCCGACCCGCGCTTCCAGGATCCGACGGCCAAGGCGCGCGTGGCGCTGCTCTACCTGCCACTGCTGCCCGTCGTGCTGGACAACCTGGAGCACGTGCACGACTGGAGCGCGCAAGGTGAGTGGGGCGCCGGCGGCCGGCCGCCCGGCTCTCGTTCGCCCCGGCCGTGCCCGAGTCCGGCCGGCCGGGCTGCGCAGAGAGCGACAGAAACGACGAGAGGCGCATGCGGGGAGGCGCGCTCGCCAGTGCAGAGCGCCGCCCTTGGGCATCGTCTCACACGCTGCCCTGGCCGCCGAGCTGACGCGTTGTCTCGGGAACTGTGCGTGATTGCGTGCGCTCCTCGAGCCTGGAACTCCTCGTCGAACTCCTCGCGCCTGGTCGTGCTGACGACATGACAAACTGCAGATACTGTTCGGGACATTGATGAAGAGCACAACATGCATTTGCGAAGGACGTGAGAGCTGTCAGGTTCCTATTTGGACACATTATTGAATGCCAGCGCAGTCAGCTTGCTCTTGAACCAGATCCGCACTAGAGTACATCCTCGGCAGAGCGTGTTCGTGAGCGGGCTTGTCGCACACTACTCCCGTCCGCGCGGTGATCTGCCGGGCCGCGCGGCCGCCGGGCCGACCGGCGAGCTCTGACCTCTAACGGGGCCGGCACAGGTCGCGGCGGCTACCTGTCCCGGGAGGGCGGCACCTTGGGCGCCCAGCTGCTGAACGGGGGCCGGGACGCGGCCGGTGACGACGCCGCTCGCGATGCCCAGGTGAGCGCCGACGCGCCGCCGTCTGCACCCCGTGTGCTGGACAGTGGCCTCGGGCGGGCTGGCGGCCCCTGCTGTGTGGTGTTTGGGAAGGTCGGGCTACACAGGACAGTGGTGCGGCGAGCAGGGCGTGGGTGGTCAGGGCTGTGGTAACGCGTCGCTGACCAGCTGTTATTGTGGCTAAGCGCGTGGACCGTTGTGAGGCTCTGCTCAGGGGTGATGCTCGTTTCATGCAGCTGGATATGTCGAGTACCATCACTCCGGACATGTCCTACTTCGTAAGTTCTCCCCGGTTTACGGTTGGAGCATCTGTTGTTTCGGGTCATTCTTCACAATTTTATCGTCATGAATTTGGTTTAGCTGCACTTTTTAAAATTCTGACACAATCTGGCTGTGATGTCTGCACGTTATATTGTCACCCAATGCCCGCTTTTGTTAGTTGCACCACACTGTAGTTCGTACACGTGTACATATAGCTGTTACAGATAGCAGAAGCAGGCATGTGTGATAGCTTGCTTTTGTCACTCATTGCCTAGACAAGAGACATTGCATGTATCACAGTTGGTTGCGATCAGGCGATATTAGGGGATGTACTCTTTGAGGCAGGATGTTGCGGTTTAGTCAACAGTTGTTGAGTAAGTCTCGGTACAGGCAGCGAATTGCATTGTGCGGCCGCGTATTTCATCGCGGATATGCAGACCTGTTGACTTGTGCGTCGGGGTGTCGCACATTTTGTGCTCCTCCAAGTGGTCTGTCTTACGCCCAGTACTCCCCTGAGCGGCCTGACGCGCGGTGCTCCTCGGAGCGACCTGTCTGACGTCCGGTGCTCCCCAGAGCAGCCTGTATGACATGTGCTCCCCAGAGGAGCCTGTCCGACATCCGGTGCTTCTCAGAGCGGCCTGTCTGGCGTCCGGTGCTCCCCAGAGCGGCCTGTCTGACGTCCGGTGCTCCCCAGATCGGCCTGTTTGACGTCCGCTGCTCCCCAGAGCGGCCTGTCGGGTATTCGGCCGGAGACGAGCCGCGACCTGCTGACCTGCGTACTGTGGGTGCTGAAAAACACGCGCGCGGACGTGCTGCGTGCCACCTGGGCCGAGTATCGACCGTCGCGCATCCAGCTGCTGCTGCGGCTGCTGCACACGGCCGTGTCTTGCTTCGAGTACAAGGTGGGCAGCCCGTCGGCCATGAGGTGGGCGGCGCGCGGCTCGGCGGAGTGGACACTTCCGGCCAGCCACCGCGGCGGCCTGTGTTTTCCGGACCCTCTTCCTGGAACTGGGCGGAAGTGATCCTGCAGCGGCCTGCACGAACGCGGCAAGGCCACTGCTCTTGCGCGGGAGGCGGCAGGGCCATCGGCGCCGGAAAGCTTCGCGATTGGGTGTTATGTCCTGTCGTAATGTTCATGAAACCGGAGGCGCTTCTGTCGTTGGTGCTTGCTGAGGAAATTGAATGATCATTCAGATGTTTCTGGACGTGCCGCTGACTACGTGTAATTCAGCCTTGGATGAAGGTTTTGACCGAGTGGCACGGGCACTAGCACTTTTGCGTGGTGGCCCTGCATTGCTTTTTGTCGGCTGTCGCTGAGTACTGATGCGCTGAGTTGACCTGACCCGTTCGGCCGCCGTCCGTAGCTAGGCGCCGGACTGACGCGCCGTCCCCGCCGTCAGGGCCGGCGCCAGTCACCTCTGGCGAGCCAGCCGAGCCTGCGCGGCTCCACGCGCGCCGTCGAGGCCAAGTCGCGGCTGGAGGACATGATCCTGGGCCAGGGCTCGGCGCGGAGCGAGCTGATGCGGCGGCGCTCGCAGCTGCAGGCGTCGCCGGCGCCGGCCGCGCCCACGCCGCCGCCGCCGGCCGCCGCCGCCACGCCCGACCGGCTGCGCTGGCGCAAGGAGCAGACGGCGCCGCAGTGGCGGCTGGACCCGGAGCGGCCGGGCCGAGCGGACGCCGAGCCCGCCGACCCGGCCGCCGAGCGCAGCCTGGCCGCCGAGGCCAGCATGGTGGTGCTGAGCGCGCTCGAGACGGTCATCCAGGTGCGTCCGCAGCCGCTGGCGGCGGCCGCCGCCGAGGGCAGGGTGGGACGCCGGAAGGATGGCGGCGGCTGAAATCACCGAGGCGTTTGATGGAGTCGAAGCGCCGACATCTCTGACGATGTAGTTGTTGTTTTCGTTACGATTTCAAGTTGCCGTACTGAGGGCTGTTCTGACGCCTGACGGCTGTTCCGACACCTGATGGCTGTATTCTGACGCCTAATGACTGCTCTGACGCCTGATGGCTGTTCTGACGCCTGTTCGTCCAGGTGCTGTCTAGTCAGGATGGCCTCCACGGCCTGCTGGGCATGGCGTTCCGCGTGCTGCTGCACGCGCTCTCCTGCAACCAGAGCACGGCCGTCATCGCCAACATGTTCGCCACGCAGCGCTCCCTAGTCACAAAGGTTGGCACGGGCCGTGGGCGACCCCCTCCCAGTGCGCAGTTGTCTGCGGCGGCCACCCGCGTCGTAGTGCGGAGCTGGGCACTCCTGTCACCTGGCCAGTGGCATAGGCAGACCGCTGGGGCAGGCGCTGTGTGGCGCTCCCGCAGCTTTGTGTGGCCGTTTTGCCCCATCACCGTCGCGCGTACTCTTCGCTCAGATGGCCCATGTCGACGCGTAGCGCTGCGTAGAGAGTATGTTTTTTCGCCGCGAGGACGATTCAGAAACGCCTGCGGACAATCGAGAGTGGGTCGAAGCGGCATGGCTCCATTTGACACGATCGGGACGCGTTGTAGCCACACTCCGTTCACCTCTTGTCTGGCGGTTGTCGAGCTGACGCCGGCCTCGCACGAACTAACGCGCGCCCGCGCCGCCGGACAGTACTCGTCGCTGCTGTTCGTCGAGGAGGCGGAGCACTGCGCCGACCTGTGCCTGCGCCTGCTGGAGCACTGCAGCAGCGCCGTGTCGGGCACGCGCAGCCAGGCGTCCGCCTCGCTCTACCTGCTCATGCGACAGAACTTCGAGATCGGCAACGTACGAACTGAGCGCCGGCGACTGGCCGAGCCGGGCGGAGCCCGCTGCCCGGTGCGGGTGGGGCGGGCCGGTCTGAAGGCGCCTGCGCGACACGCGAAGCCAGCGTGCACGGGCGACGGACCGGCGCTTGTGGCCTTGTGCGGTGGCCGGTGGATGCCTTTGTGTCATGCTAAGATGGTGTATTTCAGTCAGCAGCCTGGCATGTGCACAGAGCAATAGGTGTTGACCCATTCATTGACATGACATGCATGCCCGCGTCGATACCCCAGCCTGCGTTGGATGTCACGTGCACCGCATCACCGCGGTGCCATCGTACACATGCATGTCACGTGGTGCACACTGAACGGACCGGGATGCCCATGCCGCAGAACTTCGCCCGGGTGAAGATGCAGGTGACGATGTCGCTCAGCTCGCTGGTGGGCACCAGCCAGGACTTCAACGAGGGCTACCTGCGTCGCTCGCTGAAGACGATCCTCGAGTACGCCGCCGAGGACCGCGAGCTGGAGGAGACCACCTTCCCCGTGCAGGTGACCGACGCAGCCCGCAGACTTCGCTTGCGGCCCGTGTGTTTGCGGTGGCTTACTGCTATGTGTCGTAGAGCGACTAAGCAGTTCAAAGTAATGTTGAGACACTGACGTCTTGTAGTGAATTGGAAACTAGGACGCGGGGCTTGGAAAGGTGCGCACGTTTCAGGTTCAGATTCATTCTGTGTTGAACTTTTTCGTGCAGGTCTGATCCATTGTAGTTGTGGGATGGTAGTGTGCAAGAACGCAACAGGTCACGCAAATGAATGAACAAGTGTCAAATGTCGTAAACACGTTTGCATTTACCGCTAAAATGTGCTGCTCCTGATTCAGATGTTGCTTTGGACGAAATTAAGCTCACTGCATCTGTATAAGACGCCGCCGGCTCGAGTTCCTACTTGCCGTTTTTGTTTAGGGAGTAGCGGCTGTGTTCCGCTCCGCTCCTCAGCAGCACGCACTGGCTGCCGCTTCCAGTCTAGTGTTGGCGTGGCGTCACCGTCGTGAAGGGTTTTATGCATTTAGTTAGGCTTGTCGGCGGGCCCAACCCGAATGAGAATCACAGCCGCGGGTGGTTCGCATTGCGGTGGATGTTTCGGGTCGCGTGACTTTTGCACGCGTCGGTTGTCCGGCTCAAAGGTGAGGGCTGTCAGCTGCCGTCGGCGGACCGACGTTGTGCTCTGAGTCACAGTGTCCGTCCCGTCGCCAGCGCAGAAGCCAGCATGTCACGCGCCCTGACGAGATCCCGCCGCGGCCGGCAGGTCAGCGACCTGGTGTTCAACCTGCACATGATCCTCTCCGACACGGTCAAGATGAAGGAGTTCCAGGAGGACCACGAGATGCTGCTGGACCTGATGTACCGCATCGCCAAGGGCTACCAGAACTCGCCCGACCTGCGGCTCACCTGGCTGGACAACATGGCCAAGAAGCACATGGAGGTGCGTGGGTCCCACCGGCGGCGGCGGCGGCGGGCCGCCTCCGCGCGCCGCGCGCCCGGGCGGCAGGCGCGGCGAGGGGGCGGCTAGGCCCAGCGTTGGAGTGCACGCGAGCCGTTGCATGCGGGGCCGGGGCGCTCGTCTCACAGTTTTGTCAGTTGGAGAATTGATGTGGTTGTTTGTGGTCGGGACGAAAGCACACGTTGGGCTGGTCGTGACTGCGCTGCAGTATTGCCCACTCGACTACATTTCTCCGGATGGAGAAGTGGCACGGATTGGGTTTTACTCTGGCTTCGGATTTTTTAGCAATTACCTTATTTTACACGCTCAGATGTTTGACAGGATGGTGAGGGTTCCTGGTAAAGATGTGCGCATGGCCATCAGGAAACTATATTGAGTTTGTGACACGCGATAGTCCCTGCTCCGCTGACGGCGCTGACGCCTGACTGAAACTTGACTCCTCACTGCGCGCCAGCCGAGCGAGCTTCGTTATCTAGCTGCCAGCGCGAAATTGACTCTTCCGGGAACCAACGGCCGGGGCTCCGATCGCTCGCCTCGCCTCGAGCGGAGAGCGGGCCGCCTGCGCGCTGATGAGGCTCTCCGTCGTGTGTTGATAACCCCCGACGGCGGCGCCCCTTTGTCGGCTCGCTGGCGGCCTTTACACTTCGATACCCTCGCTCGTTGCTGCATAACGGAAGCTCTGAAGGTATTGGGCTCGCTCGTAATTTCGCCCACCGTTTCGAGGAGAGACGTGGGGCAGTAAGCTGTGCGCGTGACGAGCTCATCGTCCGGAGTTGCCTTCTTTCAAGTTTGTTTCCTTCTAGGCTCGGCTCTCGCAATTGTATTGCAACATCGAGGTAGCTTTGCACTGAGAGTTTGGGGTAGAAGGCAAAAACGCGGCACAACACCCATACTGCAGCCAGCGACAGCCGTGAATGAGATGTGTGTGATTTGGAGCAGCACTCTCCCGTAGGCTGCACCGCTGGCCACATGGGCCCGGGTGGGACTGGGAGCTCCGCCGAGGTAGGGTCCAGGTGACGGCCTCCGGAGGCGCGCGGAGCCGGCCACCAACCACCGCCCGCCTGCCGCAGTGTGATGTTCCTCTGTCCACAGCGGGGCCAGTACGCCGAGGCAGGCATGTGCTACATCCACAGCGCGGCGCTCGTCTCCGAGTACCTCAGCATGCTGGAGCCCAAGTCGTACCTGCCGCTGGGAGCCACCGCCTTCGAGAAGATCTCGCCCAACGTGCTGGAGGAGAGCGCCGGTGGGTGGCGCCGCTGGCGTGCGCAGGCTCGGGTGGAAGGTTCTGTGAGGGGGAGGACAGGGGCGAACGTCGGTTCCTATTGTGAAGCACGGACCAGAACGACGCGTCCACTTCGCGGCGGTATCGCCGCGTCCCTGCTGCGGCCCCACCTGTGCTGTGAATGCTAATGCCGTGGCCGCGTCATCCGAACGGGGCCGTGACCGAAGCGTCGGTGCCGCCCGCAGTCTCCGACGACGTGGTGAGTCCGGACGAGGAGGGCATCTGCACGGGCAAGAGCTTTACCGAGCCCGGACTGGTGGCGCTGCTCGAGCAGGCCGTCAACGCCTTCGACAACGCCTTCATGCACGAGGCGGTCAACGACGTGTACAAGCTGCTCATCCCGATCTTCGAGAACGCGCGCGACTACCGCAAACTGAGCGCCATCCACGGGTGAGCGTGGCGTCCCGCGGAGAGCCGGGCCTTGGCAGACCTGACGGAAGACGGGGTGACGACCTACGGGCTGACCTTTGGAGGCCGTCACGGCGTGCTTTACGCCGGATACCTCCACGGCAGGAGAGCCGCGCTTTGCGATTGTGTCACGGGAGAATCCGATACTCCGTGTTATAGGGGCTGCCTAGAAAGATAGTGGCTGCTTGCGGTCGCCCGTGGCTGTAATATGACCCAGTCTGCTGGAAGCTTTTCTGGCGGTCACAGAGTCACGTTCCACGTTGTTCATGTTTGGCCGACCGCGTCTCGTCATCTGTTGCGTGAACTCCCCGCGCCACTGATACGGGGATTTACATGCGTCAGTACATGACGGCGAAGGTCGACGCGAGCTCACGGCCCCGTGCGTGCCCTCCGCAGGAAGCTGCAGGACTCGTTCAGCAAGGTGATCTCGGCGGACGGCAAGCGCCTGTTCGGCTCGCACTTCCGCGTCGGCTTCTACGGCTTCAAGTTCGGCGACCTGAACGGCGAGGAGTTCCTCTACAAGGAGCCGGCGCTCACCAAGCTGGCCGAGATCTCCAACCGGCTGGAGGTGCGGTGTTTGGCGGGCGGGCAGGGCTCCGGATCCGGCTCCGGCCCCGGATCCGGCCCCGGCCCTGGCTCCGGTTCCGGCTCCGGTTCCGGTTCCGGCTCCGGGTGCCGGGCTGTGCCCGCCGTCTGGTGTCAGGGGGACGGAGCCGAACTGTGTGACGTAGAGACCATGGACCAAGTGTTTCGTGACGCAGCTAATTTTGGCGTGGATCCTGTTGCAACACGAGAGACTGCTCTTCTCCGTATCATTATGGTCTGCTCCCGTGAAAGTGTGAGAACTATGAAGGACTGGAATTGTACCCAGATAAGCGCAAACCCGTCTCACTCTCCCCCGTACGTCACCTGCTCACTGCTCGCATACACTAGAGGTCACCATTCGGATATGCTGCCAGCAGGTCCGTGACCTTGGCGTCTTCCTGAGCACCAACCCCGTGCGGGCCAATCACATTGACGTGACGATCTCGAAATCAAATAGGACACCGGGTAGTCTCATGCAAAGCGTGAAAACGCCGTCGGGCCTCATCAGGCGCGAGTCGATCATGGGACTGTGTTCTGTGCCCTGTAAGGTCATTGATTGAGCACGGCGCCGTTATTTGGGACGGTGCCGTTTCACAGCTCGTCGGGCGTAAAAGATTGCAGCACCGATTTCTCACCCGGCCGGGTTGCAGCACTCAGCTTCGCTGCCGTTTGCACTGGAATATGAACGTCTCGCTGATTTAAAACATAGCCAAAGCACGTTGTACTGGGCCCTGCATATTTTTGTACAATGTTTAACACCAGAGGGCTGGCTGTGCTCGCCTGATGCTCCTGTTAGGTCTGTCTGCACATCTTGCCCAGAACTGTTGGCACACCATTCTTTCGCAAGAGCCATTGACAATGGGTCATTCTGGTGAAAGGGGGTTGCTGCGTCCGTTACCTGCGATCGTTTTCTCCGGGCTCCTCCCGCACCCGACTTTTCCCAGCAAACAAATTCCCTCCAGTCGGATGTGTTCCGGTTCACCGGTGCCCCGGGAGCGTGCCTTTGAGAGTCGCCGTACAGGGCGCGGAAACTGGGGCGGGAGGGGGCTCGGAAATTAAACAAGTTAAAAATGGAACTGCTTCGCGCTGACTGGACGAAATAACCGAAACTGGTCATCGCCTTCCACCCCTCCCCCCCCCCCCCAAACTTGAGAGGACTTCTGTCGGCCCTTGCCGTTTTGCCTGAATGTGTACTGTGTATGTTTAATTGATAGTATGTGTGCGTCTCGTAAGTTTATTGCTTTTCAAACTGGACGGGCTCTATATTTGGACTTTTAGCCGGTGGAAGGCTTATGCTTTAAATGAGCAAACAACCATCTCAGCTTGTATCAACAAACTCAGTGCTGCAAGTGATAAAGGGTGGTCGTTTCCGCAAGAGCTTCCTGATGAACTTTTCCTGCCGTTAGAATATGCCTGAGCATCCCGTAACGATGTTCGTGTTTAACGCGGTCTGATGGGACATCTCTTGTCTCGAGAAAGCCGTGATTTGCCTGATGGAATCATCACGTGCGGGTCGGGCGTAATGCGGAGAGCTCCACAGAATGTTGTGTTTCCACAAGCGCTTCAATGAAGCCCTCAGAATGCTGTGAACGCCCGGGCACTCTCAGTATAAGTTACAGATGCAGCACGCAATAACCCTCGTGACGACTGCCATGAATTAACATCCGTGTATAACACCTGTCCTGCTTAAAGAGCGTGTATGATGATTTGTTTGCCCGCCGGCTGACGTAGCGCGCCGTCGTGCAGAGTTTCTACTCGGACCGGTTCGGCGCGGCCAACGTGCACACCATCAGGGGCTCCAACAAGGTGGAGCCGCACAAGCTGGACCCGGACATGGCCTACATCCAGATCACCTACGTGGAGCCGCACTTCGACATGTGGGAGCGGCGCACGCGCGCCACGGCCTTCGAGCGCAACTTCGACGTCCGTGAGTGGGAGCGCGACGCGCGACCAAGCGGGCCGGGCTTGGGCCCTTCCGGGTGGTTGTCTGGGCAGACGTGCTCAATGTTGAGACTGTGATGTAGCTACTGGGCTGTACATTGTCCACGACAGCGAGCGGATTGTCTTAACGTGTACAATTGGTGGAGTGCCTTCGAGTTCGTCCCAGGCGCAGCTGGCTGCCGTGTGACTGGCGGTGTCTGCCGGAGCAGCCCGAGCCCCACTGATGCCCCGGCTGGTGGTGTCTGCCGGACCGGCCCGAGCCCCAGTGACACACCGGCTGGTGGTGTCTGCCGGACCGGCCCAGCCCCACTGATGCGCCGGCTGGTGGGTCTGCCGGAGCAGCCCGAGCCCCACTGATGCCCCGGCTGGTGGTGTCTGCCGGACCGGCCCGAGCCCCAGTGACACACCGGCTGGTGGTGTCTGCCGGACCGGCCCGAGCCCCACTGATGCCCCGGCTGGTGGTGTCTGCCGGACCGGCCCGAGCCCCAGTGACACACCGGCTGGTGGTGTCTGCCGGACCGGCCCGAGCCCCACTGATGCCCCGGCTGGTGGTGTCTGCCGGACCGGCCCGAGCCCCACTGATGCGCCGGCTGGTGGTGTCTGCCGGACCGGCCCGAGCCCCGGTGACACACCGGCTGGCGGTGTCTGCCGGACCGGCCCGAGCCCCACTGATGCCCCGGCTGGTGGTGTCTGCCGGACCGGCCCGAGCCCCAGTGACACACCGGCTGGCGGTGTCTGCCGGACCGGCCCCAGCCCCAGTGATGCCCCGGCCGGCGGTGTCTGCCGAACCATCCCGTGCCCCGGTGACACCCCGGCTGGCGGTGACCCGTTCCGCGCCGGCAGGCACGTTCATGTTCGCCACGCCGTACACGCTGGACGGCCGGGCGCACGGCGAGCTGCACGAACAGCACAAGCGCAAGACCATCCTGACCGTGGCCAACAGCCTGCCATACGTCAAGACGCGCGTGCCCGTCACGGCGCGGAAGGAGGTGGGTGGTGGCGGCGGCGGCGGTGTCAGGCCCGGCGCCGGGCCGCGGCCTGGCGCGGGCCACGCGCCCCTCAGCGTTGGCGCCGCGCGCAGCCCGCTCGAGTTGTGTGCCCTCGCGCGGTTCTCAGGACAAACTGGGGGTACTGCGGGCGCGTCGCTTGGCGTTGCCGTGCTGCTGGTCGGCGCGCTTCCAGGCCTTGCGATCCTGGTCTCTCGGGAATACCACTTGACTCCACGGCACGAGCTTTGCGCGGTCGCGTGGTCCGGACCTGACGCCCCTGGCCGAACCGACGGCCGGCCGGCAGCGCCAGCACCGTTCCCGGGCAGATGCAGATGAGCTGACTGGCGCGTCTCTCGTGCCTGATGTCACGCTTGTCAGCCGCACCATTAACAATCATTGTGCCTTGTTAAGTCTAGCGCGGGGGCCGGCCAGTCGATTGGGCCTGAGTGCCTTTTAGTGCCGGCCGGTTTACGGGGCTGGCGAGGTCGATGGATGAGCGGCATGGGTGGAAGCTGCCGATTTGTTTTTGGTTGCGTAATGCGGTGTTCCGCGCCTCCCACTGCTCTTCCACGACTTGCTCGCTCCGTCTCCCGCCTGTCCGTGCTCTTTCCTCTTTATGCACCCCCGCCTGCCGTTCGCTCCACGCCGTTCTGCTCGGTCGGCGGCGACCCTGAGACGTCTCTGTCGCTTCCGGTCCCCTCTCCTCCGGGGGGGGGGGGGGCGTGGGCGGGCCTCAGGCGGTCGGTCCATGTCGACGTCAGGCACATTCCCGGTGGCCGCGGATCCGGCGGCGGCCTGCGTTCACGCTGGGCAGGCGGCGCCGTCGGCGGGCACGGCGTGGAGAAGTGCTGTGTCTCGCAGCTCGGCCGGTGTCAGTTACTGCCTGGAACTGCTCAGTTGCCGTCAGTTACCGCCCTGAATCTGCAAAATCGCCGCCACGAGGCCTGACAAAGGGTGGACGAGACGGGTGGGCGGACGAGGAGGTGCGCCACCGGACGAGGGCGTCCTCTTATCTCACTGCCCTCGCTCATGAGAACCTCAGTTCTTGCACTGTAGGAAGTGGGGTCGCGCGCACTGAAATGTGAACTTGGTCCGTTCGGGTCGGCACTGACCACACTGCGCAGTGGCCGTCCCCACGTGTCGTTTGACTTTTGACCTGGCCGATTTCAGGTGACCTTGACCCCGATCGAGGTGGCCATCGAGGACATTCGGAAGAAGACGGCAGAACTGGCGGCGGCCATCTCCCAGACGCCTCCCGACACCAAGATCCTGCAGATGGTGCTGCAGGGCTGCATCGGTGAGGGCGCTGGCCGGGTCATCTGACCAGGCGACCGCTCCGCCGGAGCTCACCGGTCCGGATACCTCGTGCGAGCGGGTGATGTCTGTTCTCCTCCGCTCCTCAACGTAGTTCCGGGTAGTATCAACGGGTCCGTGCGCTGGTGAGCGTCAGAAGGTAGCAAAAGGGAAACAAGGAATAAGCTTGATAATTTTTTCCCCTTCCACCCCTGTTCGCTTGCAGTTTACGTAGGAGTGAAATAGGCGGAAGAAATCGTGCGGAGCTCTGGACTATCTTAAGATGACAAACAGCATAAGCGGAGGAGGGCGATGCTTGGGTGCGTGGTTGTCATCTCTCAGTATAGGCCGCCGCGCTGAAGTCATCGCTTGAGAAAATAACAAACCGGCACATTGTCCGTATATTTGCACAGCAAGTGTGTGTCCCTTCAACCCGTCCGGCGGGCGGTAAAGCCGCTTTGATGATGTGCGCCTCCGTTTTTCTTTGCGCCGTCCACGTGCCGACTCACGCTCCATACACCAGATACCAGCGCCAGCCGGAGGTCGCCCGCGGCGCCGGGAACGAGGCGGGCCGGGCGGTCTGCTACAGACGCCCATCTCACCGAGCTTGACGCCGCCCTCAGGCACGACCGTCAACCAGGGCCCGATGGAAGTGGCCAACGTGTTCCTCTCCGACCTGTTCTCCGGACAGGAGCCGACCGACCTGCAGAACAAGCTTCGCATCTGCTTCAAGGACTTCTCCAAAAAGTCAGTAGTGATGGCCGTGAGTGGGGCGTTTAGAAGCGTTAACGCAGGCGCGTGCTGGCACGCTCCGTTCCGAGGTTTGTGGACACCCTCAAGCCTGTGTCAATACTCTTATCCAGTCTTGACGGCGCTCGGTGCAGCGTGTCCAGGACCGCTCAGTGGCTCCAGGCGGCGCAGACGGCTGTTTTTATGTATTTTCGGCCGCGCTCGTCTTGTAAATGCCGTCCGGTTAGCGGCTGTTGCTGGCCCGCGAATCCTGCCGCCCCGCCGCCCCGGCGCCCCGGCGCCCCGGCTCCCCGGCTCCTCGGCTCCTCAGCTCCCCAGCTCCCCGGCTCCCCGGCTCCCCGGCGCCCCGGCGCCCCGCCGCCCCGGCGCCCCGCCGCCCCGCCGCCCCGGCGCCCCGCCGCCCCGTCCGCCATCCGCTCACGGTCACCGGATGCGCGTCGGCCGGCTCCGGCCGGAGCTCGGCGGTTCGTCCGGCCTCTGGGCGTGTCTGCACGCCGGCGCGCGACGACCGCGAGGTCGGCCCGGTCGCCGGGGTTGGCTGGTGCGGCGCCCCTCCACTCCCCTCCCCGGCTGCCAGCCCCGCCCGCCCGCTCGGCCGGCCATCAGTCAGACCCTGCAGACAATCACTTCCCGCTGCTCCCGAGAGATAGCGTTAATTGATTGGATTACGGCTTATGGGCGCGCCAACTGCCGGATTGTGTGGCGCGGGCGGTGGCGCGCGATGGCGCGGAAACACCGCGGAAACGGCGCCGGCCGCCGACAGCGGCGGTCCTGCTTTGTTCTCCGATGTCGGGACTAGTGGAGACGTAGTATGATGAGGATTCTCGGATTTTGACGTTACCACTTGAGCATGGAGTCGCACTACAACGAGCTGGATCTGACCGCCGGCGTCGTTTTGATTGAAAGAAGCATCTAAGTTTGACTAAAGCAGACACGCTGATAATGGCGCCGTGGCTCATTTTGTTTCGAACCTTGTGGGGATTAGCAGCATCTCAGGTCAAATGAAAATATCATAATATACCTGTTTCACCTATGACGTTGCCGTCCGTCTCGGTGCCCGCTCGTTCGGTTATGGTGTGAGCGCTAGGGTCAAGGGTACCGCCGCTGTAAACAAAACGCCCCGCCGACCAGAGCTCTGGTATGTACGCGGTGTAGGGTCCTCATACTGTTTACTCGTCACTACGCCCCGGCGAGCTGTGATGGTTTTTGCATTGGATGTGAATTATACCCATTGAATGGTAAGGATGTGAGTAAATTCATGATAGGATTCTGCAAATGGTTGTATTCAGTCACATGCTTCTTAATTGGCTTGCATTCGTTCTTACTTTACACTTGATAGTTGTATCTGATGCGAGCCTGTGTGGCTTACGAATGCCCTATATTTGTGGTGCATATCGTGCACGTTTCAAAGTGAACATACCAAGTCTTCCATGCGGCAGCAGTTTGAAAGAGGGATGAGTTATGCTTGTGTTTGTAACGCTGGATTAACTTGGTTGACGGCTTGCTCCGCCCATTCATGCTCCATTAGGGCCCGTATTGTAGCCAATGGAAATGAATGCATAGGAGAAACCTGCAGGAAAAGCTGGCTCTTTATGGACGCTGTACTAGTAAACTGAGAGGCTCTTCACCCAGCAAGCACGTGTCGTAAGCGCCGATGATGGCGTCTTGGAAATAAGCCCCGCTCAGTTTTTTTTCTTCTGAAGGACATCTGGACCTCGTGAGCTGTCATCTCCCTTTCCCGATGTACATTGCACGCCGTAAATTGCCAGCACTAACCAAAGAAGTATGTCTAAAAGTAAAGACTAGAAAGTAGAGGCGTCTACTTCCGCTAAAATCGATGGGAAAGACCTCGGACTTAATTTGCACTCAGCGTACTTATTAGCTCGGATGTGCGCCAGAACGTGACCGGAACATGTCGCGGCCCCTTGACCTTGCGGAAGCGCCCAACGCTGAAGCGACCCGATACCAAGCATTTATCGTGCCTGATGTTGTCCCAGCGCACCTCGGAGCGGCCCGCGAGCTTTCCCAGGACAACTCGGCTCGTTGCTCCCGAGGTGCACCGCCGACCTGTGCCACTACTGCACGACCTGTGCCACTACTGCACGACCTGTGCCACTACTACTCGGCTCGGTGCTCCCGAGGCACTTCGACGACCTGTGCCACTACTGCACGACCTGTGCCACTACTGCTCGACCTGTACCGCTACTACTCGGCTCGGTGCTCCCGAGGTGCACCGACGACCTGTGCCACTACTGTATGACTTGTGCCACTACTTCTCGGCTCGTTGCTCCCCAGGTGCACCGACGATCTTTCCCACTACTGTTCGACCTGTGCCACTAATACTCGGCTCGTTGCTCCCCAGGTGCACCGACGACCTGTGCCACTACTGTATGACCTGTGCCACTACTACTCGGCTCGTTACTCCCCAGGTGCACTGACGATCTGTCCCACTACCGCTCGACTTGTGCCACTAATGCTCGGCTCGTTGCTCCCCAGGTGCACTGACGCGCTGCGCAAGAACCGCAACCTGATCAAGCCGGACCAGGCCGAGTACCAGAAGGAGCTGGAGAAGAACTACCAGCGCTTCGCCGACAAGCTGAAGCCGATGATCTCCGCGCGGCAGGCACACACGCTCACGCTCTCCAAGAGGTACGGCCGTATCCCGTCCAGCCCTGCGACCGTGGCGCGCTCGTTGGCGGCCATCTTCACTGCAGTAGGCGCTCTTTGCTTTTGATTTTGCCGCAGCCGATGTGCCGCGCGAATGCTGAGACATCCGCGGAGCTGGCAAAGTAGCTGGAAGGTTTGCGTACTGCCAGCACAGCATGCAGTGAGGTCCTGCGAGCACTGGCTGGCTCATCAGTCTTGTTTGCGCTGGTTGTGGTGCATGTTTGGGTTGTTTGTGAACTGTTCTGTGCCCGATGAGTGGCTTCGGTAGAAGCACGTGCACTAATAGTCTGCTGGTTGTTGGGGACTGCGGTGGCGGTGCATGCTTGTGACAAAGTAGCTTAGAAGTAGTTAACACTACTTAACACTAGTTAACACTTAGTGGGCTAGAAGTCGCTCTAACAAAAGCATCTGTCTCAACTTGGCTCGACTGCGCAGGAGTCTCCCCCACCCAGCATCTGTTACCTTCAGACCGAGGCGGGGGCCCGGGTCTGCCTTCAAGCTCGCACATGGGCCCGGCCTGCTGGTTTTCAGGCCGACACCTGGCGCCGGTCGGCAGGCCCCGCCCCTCGGGCCGGGCCGGGGACTGACCGGGCTCGGCTCGCGCCCGCGACACCTGGTCTCGCGCGACGCCGTCCGCCCGCCTGACGGTGCGCCCGTGTTCTGTTTTAGGCGGCAGCGTCTCTAGTGAGCTGGCGGTCGGGCCCCGCGGGCACGGTATGTCGATGGCTCGCCCCGCCGCTGGCATGGCCGCGCCGCGCCGCCCAGCACGCTCGCAGCGCTTGCTTGCTGGCCTCTGTGTGTCGTCCTGTCCACGCCGCCGGCCTGGCGCCGCTGGTGTCTGTGGCGAGGCCCGCCCTGCCGCTGCTGGTGTGCAGAGGTGTCCGTCTGGGTAGTGTCATGGTGTCCTCGGCTGCTCGCTCCACCCTCTGCCGGTCGGCGGCCTCGGGCGGGGTACGCGCCGTGACCGGACCGAATGGGCAAAACAGCGGCTGCTGAGTCACGCCGGCCGCCTGGTCTGAAAGCCATGCTTAAGCAGCTGACAGGGCAGCGCGGGTGTCGGTTTCTTGTGGTCGCGGTCCGGAAAGGGCGCTGAAAATAACCAGCGTCGGCCAACTTCTTTATGTATGTATGCATACTTTCACACCTTGAAGATACCGCAGAATGAAAGGTCGTAGACGTGCGAAGTTGGCGGGTAAGTCACGTGTGGCAACCACATTTGAACTGTCGCAAGTGCGCACTATGTGTTTTGGTAGTAGAGTTCCCGAAGCGCTCCCACTATTTGTTATTCCCATTTTTGTAGGTTGGTTTGTCATGATGGACAGTTTGGCCATCCGTTTGCCAGCTACCTGAACGTGCACGGCCTCTGAGGTGAGCCTGGCCTCTGATTGAGCTGGTCGTGAGTTACTGTGTGGCCCGCCGATGCTAGGCTCGGCCGGGCGGCCTTGGGGCGTCGGCCGCCGCTCCTACCGCCGCCCGCTGCCGCCCGGTCCGCTCGATAGCGCGGTGGCCGGCTGCGTCCCATCGGCCGCCGGCCGCCCTGTACTTCATGGCAGGGACAGAGGTGATAGGGCCGACTGGAAACGTCGTCCGTAGAATGGTTGAGAATGAGAACATTTCAACCGAATCGGCATTCGTCGTGGTGACTCTCGAAGCATGTCGAGGGTGGCTTGTTCAGCGGCGGGGGGGGGGGGGGGAAGGGGGAGAAGAGGCATTCTGCTCACATTAGGATGCTTAGAACGGGGAAAACCGTGAATTGGCCATGAAACTGCAGATGGTTCCAGAAGTGCTGCCGGAAAGAGTAAACTCGTCCATCACAATATAGGAGGTGCGGTCTCAGGACAAGGCCGAGCCGGGAGCCTCTAAGGTGGTGTAGGGAGCCGGGGGCGGTTCAGGCAGTAGGTACTTTGTCTTCGTAGGAATGGTGAGGGGGACCATACTAGAGGTGCCGATCGGATTCCAAACTTTTGGAAGTTCAAAAAATGTATCAAGTCCAATTTGGAAATTGGACGGACAGGGGCAAAACTCTTTGGAATTTCTGCAGCAGCAGCTATCACCCTGTCGTGTCGCAAATTGGTACGCATCTCAGCGTAATAAATGTTGCTCATTTTCAAAACATTGTGAAGTTGTTGATAGAGTACACTAGCAAATGCGGTTTTTGAAGCATCATATAGAGTTTTCATATTAAACTGCATCGATGTTTGTGTCTTGAGGAGTGCTTGTGATACTCATTACTTACCTAGTTACTATTCGTTGCCACTCACCATCCGACCGGGCTGCCGTCGTCGAGCTTATTGATAGTCGAGCTCAGCGGGCATCGACATTAATTGTGTACCGTGGGAGCCTTCGGTTTGTGAGGGGACATCACTAGTTTGCAGTTAGTGTTGCTATTTACGCTTGTCATGAAATGTAATATTAAGATTGGTTGATGGGGGGTGGGCAAACCGTGGATCCGGCTGCACGTGACGCATTTGCGCATATTCAAGGCTGTCGCGATCATCCAAAGCTTCGCGAATGGCTTTGGTAAGCATTTTGATCTCCATAAAACCATCAGTGACGGTTTTAGTCCCGTGCTGATTGGTCGGCGCCTTGTCGCTACGGCATGACATAGAACCATGCATTTCCATGCCCTGCCTGATCTGAACGCTGGCTGTCACCTATGACCGTAGACGAGTGCACACGTGCGCAGACGGACCGTGCTCTAGCTCCGCAGGCACGTCCTATTCATTACTGACTGCAATCGAGAGGTGAAGTCGGATTGCCGTCTTCAGCCGGTAGGTTGGCATAGCGTGGTCTAAGGCTGCGCTGGTTCACAGTTTATTTTGAAGAAAATGTGGTCTGGGTGGGGTTGAACGAGCTGTAAATTTGAATTGCACGCCGATGTTTGTCACCGCTGCCTATGTACTTGTGTTTTGGTTGTCACCAGCAGGAGCGTGGTCGTCCGTGCTCTGTTGAACCCATGGCCACGTGGCTGTGACCGTCACCGGGTGTCGCTCGCGCTCCGGCGGCGTGAGCGCCGGTGCGTCGGCCCCAGCCGGCGAGCGCGAGTCGAGTGCTGACCGCCGCCGTGGGTCGTTGTTGCAGCCGGTCCCGGGAGCTGGTGCCGGCCACGCACCTCAAGACCAGCCCGTTCGTGTAGCGCCGCCGGCGCCCAGCCCAGCTCAGGGGGACGCCGGGCGGCCGGCGCCCGGCGCACCACACTGTGATAGCGGCCCGGCCAGCGGCGCGCGCCGCATCCGAGAGACGGGCCCAGCCGGCCCACCTGCAATGATGAAGCCAAAGCGGCGCGGGACGCGGCGGGGTCAGGTCGGCCGGCGCGCCACTGAGCTCGCTTGGCCAGGGGGAGGGGCGGCACGGCCGCGCCCGCTGCGGCCGCCGCGGCGCTCTTAGTCATGGCTAGCGTCGCTTTGCTCGCGCCTCTTTGTGTTATTGCGTTGCTGTCTCTGGTGGCCGCATCTTTCCAGGTATTATGCAATGCAGGCATTGGCCGTGCGTCTCCGCTGGTACGGCGATGGAGCAGAGTTTTAACCGTTTGCACGAAGGTTTGCCGCGCGAAATGTGTTAAGACTTTTGAAATGTTTCAGAAAAAGACGCTCGAATATCAGCTCCAAGTGGTTTCAAGTTAATGAACCAAAAACGTTGGTAAATAGCATTAAAACATTTTGTACGGAATGATGGCTAAGAATCTCTTCCAATCGTCAGTATCTTCGGAGATAATTCGAAACATTGTTGGGTGTTTTAAGACATTTCCCGTAGTTACGCCTTCGCAAAGATGGTCGTTCTCTAGGTTTCCAGAGATGGTTCCATTGGATGTCCACCACGTTCCGTTGTGTTTTAGCCACCATTGTTCCCGCGTCTAAAGCCTGATCCTTCATTAAGTCGCGTTTTTCATCCGACGTTTTTAGTGCACCGCTTGTTCACCATCACCGTTTACTTGGTTGTGAGATGTGAAACGAACTTCTGAGCTGTTTGAAATATGCGCCTTCATTCTCGTTTTATACGTGGCGTGTTCATATGTTTTAAGATATTACGTAGGGCTTTATGTACTTATGCCGTGGTCTTGAGGTGTGCTGTTTTGTTTACTGGTCTTTATTGCGGTTACAAAATCAGATGCATGTGTCGGGTCACATGCAGCGCCTGCTGTCCACTGCATTTTGTGTTCGTCGCTTGTTTTGAGTTACGTGGTACAAGGCGAGGAGGCGGACCGCGTCGACATTGAAATGCTGCTGGTAGCATTTTACCCATCTCATTCAGGTGCCCCGCAGATGATTATTTGCCTCCGCTTCCAAAGAGCTGCGCGCGCGATCGGCCGGCGCGATTCCATGGCTTGGATTGGTCGTGTGACCGGCGAGGCGGGACGGAGCGGTGACCCAGGCTGTGCTGGAGGCCGTCCGCCCTGGAGGGGCGCGGCCAGCGCCGCCCGGCCGGCTGCCGGTCCGCCGTCCTCGGGAGACAGAGACAGACGGACGCACCGCTCTCGCAACGCTCAGCCGCACTGCCGCACCCTGTACATACTCGGCCGCGCTGCAGAAGACGGCGGTTATTTTTGTCTTCCTCTCGCCGCGACACGCTGAGTGAAGCCGGGACTCGCGACATGGCGGCCTGGAGACAAGGACTCTGTTGCTTAGCTCTTGCCAACTGCGCCGCAATATATTACCGTACTTGGCCCGTGTTCTTGTTTGGGCATGGACAGACGGACGAAGGCCACATGAACCGGTTCGGCGCCCTGTTTATTCGCGAGGAACGGTTGGGGTGGCACCCAGTTGTAACCTATGGCATTACCGTAATAGCTTTTTGGTACACGCGACTTCAGAACGTGAGACACCATTCTTGATCGCATCTACCTGCGACCCGTGGTGCTATCCATGGGGAATATCTGGTGCAAACGACCTCAGTACGTAACATCTACCTATCTGGGCTACGGCAAGGCACCTCACCTCGATACCCCATGTGCGATATGAGTATGAACGCAGTCTTTCCGTCGGCGGCCGGGCACCCCAGCCGCCGGCTTTTCCAGC